GACTTGTCACTAGGTGTAGCCATGTTCGTATACATGCGATTTGATTCACTCGCGCGCAGACTTGTCAATCATACCCTTCGCGCTCAGACCCACCCGCGCTCAGTCATACGATATTCACCATTGGGATACTCACAACTGCATATGGTTGGGTCCTTTGCCGGGCTAATTTTTGTTGGTGGAAGTGTTCGGGGTACTGGCCCCCCCCCTCTCTTTCGGTTGTAGACAAGCTGTGCGTGTTTCGTTCTTGGGTGCTAGTGCCACCGACCACGTTGCTGTAAGCCCTGGGCTTGCGCGATGACTTCAGATGGTTTGGCTCGGGACGAATACTGGCTGAGTAGGCCCCGTAGGCCCGTCAAGTTGATTTTTCATGAGCTCCTGTGTCAAGCAGCTGGTGTACCGTGTGCATTCTGTGCTTCCTCATGGTCTTGTCCTTGGCTTCCAGCCTGTGCCCTGGTAGTTCTAGGGTGCTGGTAGGGAAATGGCAGAGTCAGCGTGTGAGGTTGTCCATCGTTCTACAGTGGGGTCAGCTTGTCAGCTTACGGGTTTAGCTTGGAAGCGTCTTCCAGGCACGGCATATTCGGAGCTAGTTGATTCATGCTGGACAGTTGCAGCCGTGAAAAGCTAAGGTGATTTTTTTCAGCACCCCCGAAAATTGAACGATTATAGTGTTAATTTGGTATGGCGCTGGGTGGGTTCATCCATGTATGGCTGTATTCGTGCAGCTTGCTGAAGCAGAGCCAGCCACCAATACCAAACAACATGCTGCCCGTTGTAGATCCGTGGCTTGTCCTGGTGAGGGACATACCATGCGTCCCCAGTCGTGCCTTGTTGGACTTAGGTGGCCAGTTTTTCGTTCGTGTTCCTTTTCTGAACTCTTGGTGGCCATCGGCCAGGATCTCCAGGCCAATCTGGACCTGAAGTATTATTAGCAGCCGTTCAGAGAAGATGATGATGATGATGATGATGATGATGATGATGATGATGATGATGATGATGATGATGATGATGATGATGATGATGCTGATGATGATGATGATGAGGATGATGATGCTGATGATGATGAGAATGATGATGATGGTGTCTTTGATCATGATGATGACGATGACGATGACGATGCCGACGACGATGATGATGATGATGATGATGATGCTGCTGCTGCTGCTGCTCCTGATGATGGTGATGACGACTGTTTGGACGATGACGACGATGAAGAAGATGCTGATCATGATGATGATTGTGATAGCGACGATGACGATGACGATGACGGTGATGATGATTATGATGATGGTCACGATGATGATGATGATGATGATGATGATGATGATGATGATGATGATGACGGTGATGATGATGATGCTGATGATGAGGATCCTGCTGATGGTGATGACGATGATGATGATTAGGGTCATTATGATCATGCTGATGATTTTGATGATGATGCTGCTGATGATGATGAACCTGATGATGCCGATGATGCTGCTGATGATGATGACGATGATGATGATGTTTTTTTTTGTTGTGCCATTTCCAGTATTATTGTTACCATTTACTTTGTATTAACATTATCATTCTTCTTACTATTGCTACGGTGATTATGATGACGGTGGTTGTGGTGATGATGCTGATGATGGTTATTATTCTGATTTTTTTTGTCCTTACCTTCATTATATAATTATTATTTCAATCATCCCTTTTGAATATTTTCAATTTCTACAGTATTATCATTATCATCATTATTTTCATTCGTATTGTTCATTCTCAGTATTATGCATATTAATGTTGTCATTCATATTACCGTTGTTCAATTTTGTATTCATGATATTCTTTTTGTTTTTGTTATTCGGATTATGATGACGGTGGTTGTGGTGGTGGCGGCGATGGTGATGGTGGTGGTGGTGGTGATGCTGCTGATGCTGCTGCTGCCGATGATGATGATGCTGGTGATGATGATGATGATGATGATGATGATGATGAACATGATGATGATGAGGATGACGATGATGATGATGATGATGATGATGATGATGATGATGATGATGATGATGATGATGATGATGATGATGATAATTATGATGATGATGATGATGATGATGATGATGATGATGATGATGATGATGATGATGATGATGATGATGATGATGATGATTCTGATGATTCTGATGATTGTGTTGATGAGCTTATGGAGGAATCCTGGAAGGGCTGGTATGTTGTGGCCTTGGCTGGGCCTGCCAGGACGATGCGTCGATGGAGTCAAACCCATCCGAGGCGACCCACGGCTGTCCAACGGTACCCCGGCATTCTGCCGCCGCAGCCGCTTTGCCGCCGGCCACTCCCGCTGGCCGCCCCTGGCGGGGAGGCGAGAGAGATCTGGGGTCCACGCCGACGACGAGGAACGCGCCGACGACGAGGGCGGCGGCGGCGGCGGGGGCGACGAAGGCGACGACGACGCGGCGGCGACAGGGGCAACGACGATGAATAGCAAGTGGCACGCATGCCCTGGCTCTTGCACGAGAGAGGGCGGGGGCCACGGAGAGGCCAGGGGCAGGGGGGTAGGGGGACCACAAACGAACGAACGACGAGCGACAACGAAGACGGCCGAGCCCAAGAGCACGGAGGTGCACGAGAATGTCTGCAGCCGAGTGGATCACGACGAACGCATCCGCTGCCCAGCGCCGATGGTTCCCGCAGGGACACACGTGATGGGCCTGTTTTCCACCACCACCACCATAAGTTGGAGGGGGAGGGGGTCCTCCTCCTCCTCCTCCTCCTCCTCCTCCTCCTCCTCCTCCTCCTCCTCCTCCTCCTCCTCCTTCCCCCCTCCAACTTATGGTGGTGGTGGTGGAAAACAAGCCAGTCAACACGGGGCACGCGAGCTTTCGTCCTCGTCTCCTGGGCGCGCTGCGGTCGTCGGCCTCTCCCGATCGCCGCGTCGCGCCCTGCCGCGTCCGCAGATGGCTCAGCGGGGCGCCGCCGCCGGGCCGGGGGGGGAGACGAGTCCACCGACCCGGGGTTCGGGGTCTCGTAGAGGGGGGGTGCACCTTAGGCGATGCTTAAGAAAACCTAGTTTTCGGCCAGAGTCTCGATTATTCTTAACGTTTCAATGTAAGTCCCAAGAGTTTGATAGAAATGTTGGGTTTTCATTCAATTTCTGAGACTACGAATTTCTTAACCCATGATTTCTTAAGCATTTCGCAGGGTGTAATCCCACCTTTGCGTTCCCCCGAAGGGTTCTCCCTCCTCCCTCCTCCCGCGGCCCGCCAGGAAGGGAAAAGGGGTCACCGAGGGAAGCGTGCCTCAGACCCTTTGGGCGCCCTCCCGCGGACTTTATGTGCACGGCCTGGGCTTCTTTTGGCCCTCCCGGTGCCCCATCAGGGGCCCGAGGCTGAAGGGGACCTTCCGGGGCCCCTTTCCACCAGGATCGGACTCCTTCATGCTAAGCGTGATTCACAAAGGGTGCCTTGTGTGCGGAAATCCCTTTCTTGCTGGCGCGTAAGCGCGCCTCGTCGTCGTCGTCGTCGTCGTCGTCGTCGTCGTCGTCGTCGTCGTCGTCGTCGTCGTCGTCGTCGTCGTCGTCGTCGTCGTCGTCGTAATCGACTTTGCCGTGGTAGGTGTTGCTCTGCTTGGGACCCGATTTCTCTGTCCAGTGACCACCGCCACAACCCTCTTCACTCCTCCCTTCTCCCTTCTCCCTCCTACCTCCTCCGCCCTCCTCCCTCTTTCTGCCTTTTCAACCTTCCTTTTGCCTCCCATCTCCTCCCGCCTGCTCCTTCCCCCCTTTTCCCCAGAGGGTCAGGCCCTGCATCGAGCGGGCCTCCAACCTAAACCTCCCACTTGCATTCTCTCGCCTCTCTCTCCTCCTTTCTCTTCCTCCTCGCTTTCCCCCTCGCCCTCGCTCGCTTTTCACCCTTTCCCTTTCCTCCTCCAGGATGCGGGCCAGGAGTACCAGGCAGGGTGCTTGAATGATGCGGGCCAGGAGAGGCGGAGAGGGTACTTGAGCTCATGAGGTCACGTCGATTCTCGGTGGCGTCAGGGCCTGCAGAGGTCACGGCTTTGCAATTGCACATTGTCGTTGGGCTAGTCCCGTCAAAGGGCGCGCCTCATCCTCATCCTCATCCTCATCCTCGTCCCCCTTGTTTCCCTCGGTCCTGTCCTGCTTTTTTCTCCTACTCCCGATCGTGGATCAGGTTGGTCCAGCCCCGGTGGCATCGGAGCTCGATCGAGGGCGCCCCCCTGAATCCTTCTGCCTGTCGTTGTTGTTGCTGTCTTGCTGCCGATGCTGCCTTCCCTCCTTCCTCTTGCCAACGACCTCCCCTCACCCCCCCCCTTCACCTGCACGGTTTCCAATGAGGAGGACAGTTGCCGATTTTGAATTGTGACAGTCCTGATATAAGTATCGGTGGGGATGGTGGGCAGAAGACGGAATATGGTTATGTTCCCGCTGCTGATGATAACGGTAAAGACATCGTTGTTGATGATGGTGTAGTTTGTTTTCGTGGCGATGATGATGCTGATGGTGGTGCTGCTGCTGATGCTGCTGCTGATGATGCTGATGATGTTGATGAATGTAGTGATGCTTCTGACTTTTATGAATAACGTGCCGATGATGAGCATCATCATTCTGAGGGTGATTGGAAGGATCAACGTGCGGATGAGCACAATCATGAGGGAGGAGGACGAGGAGGCGGGGGATAGCGAGCAAGAACAGGGAGATATTATGACCAGGTGTGAAAAAGGGGAAGCGGAGGAGGAGAAAGCAGGCATAATGATGAACATTGGGAAGGAAGTGGAGGACGAGGAGGAGGAATAGGAGGAGGAAAACGGCTTGCAGGAGGAGGGTGAGGAGGAGGAGGAACAGGAGGAGGAGGGGGAGGGGGTGGCGGACGATGGGCAGGAGGAGGACAATGGGCTGGGGGCACTGGAGTCCGCAGCCGTCCAGACGCAGTGTGTGTGTGTGTGTGTGTGGGCAGGGACGCTGGATGCCGGCAGCGGGGCCTGCGACAATGCCGCCGGTCAGGGTCCCCTCTCACGACGGGTGGCAGGAAGACAGGCAGGTTGGGAGGAGGGGGTAATGTAGTCCGGAGGACCATGATGGAGGAGGTTATGCTCAGTTGCCTGCGGCAAGCTCCGCCACCGTGCCCGTGCAACGGCGTAGCAGAAATTATTTTCAGGGTGGGACACCGGGGAAGGGGAGCAAACATGCGCCATCTGTACGGGGGAACTCCGAGGAGTCGTGGAAGTCCTAGTCCTATGCGGACATCGGTTCCACAAGCAATGCCTCGAGCAATGGAGGCTGAGCCAGCCAGGAATATTCAGAGGGAGAAGTAACGCCATGCCCATTCGGTGTCCGTACTGCAGAGCCAATGACAGAGGTAGCGTCGCAGCACTGCTACCGGGATATCCCCCCCCCAGCGAAGTACAGGCAACACTGCAACTGAGAGACGGACTCCTGGCTCCAACGAGGCCCCACATCACATACAGCGAACTGGCAGCCGCGATAGCATCACTCGCAACGGAGCTTGATTACCTAAGGGCTGACCTAGTGACCATACGCAGACCGAACACCTACATAACAGTCAGAGACATGCAAAGAATTCAGGAGCATATAGCGGTTAGCAGGAGGCCCCCAACACAGCCAGAAGAGATGGAGGTGGACGAAGAGATGGATCACGACCCCGACAGTACGAGCCCGCCCTCCGACCACGCGGACGAAGGTGGGCAAGGAGGCAGCAATGCCCCGGCACCCCCATCCAGGCAGGAAAGGATGCGATCAACCCCAGTCATTACACAGTCCAGATGGGCCTCCACCCTAGCCAGACACCCACAAGGAGGAGCCAAAAAGAGAGGACCACCAGCCTTCCCAGTCCCCCTGCTCATGGCGGCGGTCAAGGAACTGAGGGCAGAACTGGTCATTACAAGAGGGCCATTAATAGGAGACAGACACGCGGACTGCACGGGCACCACAATAGCGATGCTCAGCCCTAGCGCCTACGAGCAAATCAAGGAACTGGTGGGCAACAGGACAGCCCCAGAGGAGGGACAAGCCACTACCCCCAGCATCCTCATAGCAGATGCCAGCGCGTCCCAGATTCAAGCTGCACCGGCGGCGGCATGCTCGGGGGAGGGCCCGTGCAGGATCCTAGCCATGGCAGGACACGGAGTCCCGACGCCGGGAGGCCCAGATCCAACAGAACTCATTGCCATCGCCAACGCACAATGGGGATACCGAGCCACCAACATGATCACGCACCTGGTTCCTATAGGGAACCCGGTGATAACAGGACGCATCAATCCCCCCCTGGTGCAACTAGTGGCGGCACAGTTCGACATAACAGGCCACCCCCAAAGAACCGTGATCCCACCCTCCGTGGTAGTACGTTGGGGAGGTAGGGACGTGGACACTAGTGACGCCCTGCACGTACTCGCGCCAGAACAAAGAAATGACGCCGTAGTAGCCCAGATCCTAAGGTGGAAACAGGTGTTAGAAGACATGGATCAGACGCCTGGAGACGTGGAATGGGCCACCACCAAGATACCCCTACCCAGGGACGAGACCTTCCTAAGAACAGGACTAGAGCAACTCTACCACCACGGAGTCCGCTGTCCTCCCAGCAGAGTGACGCAATGGCAGACCCCAGTTGACTCCCCCATTGAGGCGCTCCAGATTGCAGCGCAAACCGCCTTGGCGACCAACAACAACGGGAGCACCTGGAGGTCCAGCGAGGCGTCCGACTCCGTACACATTCCCATTCCCCCCGCCGCCACCTGTCCCGCCCTGGCAATTGCTGCAGAAGCAGCGACTGCCCTAAAGTACAGAGTGGGCCTCAAGGGAGGAGGAGTTCTTTTACTAAAGACCCCCGAAAGGGTCGCGGCCCCCATGCTGCGATACCTCAAGGAGAAGCTCCCCCGAGCATTTGGGTCGGCAAGCAACTCCCCTGCGCGCTGCCCCCGAAGGATCCTCATGGAAGGAAGCTGGGACGGCGGCCCCTCCTTTATCAGACTTACCGACCCAGAAGAAGGCCACCACCTGCGATGGAACATTGCGGACCTAGGGCAGTCCAGTCGGCGCGAGATTACCGACGCCGTGGAGGCCACAGTAGGCACCGGAGCAGTGGAACGGGTCTCCTCGGTGTATGCATGGTTCCCAGTCACAGGCGAATACACGCATGACGCAGATCAGAATCCGACTTAGGGTCGCTGCCAACATGTCAGCAGCCTTTTGCGGGACCAGCTGCATTGCCGCGGGGTCGCAAGTGGTCAGGATATTCCCGGCCACTCCCTCAAGAGAGCAAATCAGGGGAGACACGGGGACCCCCAGGGCCCAGATAGAGCACATCGAAGCCATAGCTGAGGAAGCGGTACGACAGGCCCCCAGAAGAGCGGTACGGCCCCAGATACTGGAGATCACATCATTCGACCGACAAGGAAGACAGGTTGGCACCCCCCGCCCGCGGCCAATGCATCCGGACCCTTGGGTCCCTAGCCGCACCAGGCTACGGATGTTCTCGGCCTCGATCGGCTCCGCCGGACCCAGCCTGCACACCAGGGCGTGGCCGTTACCGGAGGGCGCTGAGAGTGGGGAAGGATCCAGCATGGTGAGAGCCCCCCCCCAGCCATCCCTGAGGAATGGCTGCGCGAGGTAGAGACAGTAGCATGAACGGGCGGCTTCCCACCCGTAGGGTGACCACAGAGGACAGGGACGGTCTGCGGGACTACAGCACCATACTCCACCCAGGGGAGCGCCTCTCAGCAGCAGTGGCTACTGGCGGAGCAATATCCGTCACCACCTGTGGCGAGTACGGCCGCCTCTATACGTCTACCCCCATGTGGGTCACCGTCGCATTGCCTGCCAAGGCTGACCTGAGAGCAGCGGCCAGTCGAGGCGCCGACCGCCCACAGATAAGGGTAGCCATTCAACTGCTACGCGGACCAGTGCACTTAGCAAAACTGGACGCTACCCCAGCACGTTCCCCAACCCCCGACGAACTAGGAATTGGCACCAGCCAATCCCATAGCACGATCACACCCCCGAGAAGGCATGCTGCGGTTGACTCCCTCCCCGGCCCAGCGCGCCCAAGAACTTACCCCCCCCTTGCAGAGGTGCTCTCGCGCAGAACCCGACACGGGGCCGAAACGGGGAACGCGCTGGTCAGGGCGGTAAGTGACGCAGTCGCATGCGCCCAAGGCATGCTCGGCCGGTTCCAGGCATGCATCGACGAGCAAAGCACGCGCGACCTGGCAAGAAGCATACACACCAGACTGGTACTGGAGCAACGACGACAAGAGGAGGGCAGGCCCATCAGAAGATACAACTGGGACCTCTTCGCAGCCATTTGGATCCTCCAGCTGACAGACCCCTCCGCGATGGATAGGGGCCACCTCCACCAGCTCATCAGGTAGCTCGGTATAAAGGAGGAGGTCACCAGACAGCTCCCCTTCGCGCAGTGGTTCTCCCCAGGCCCAGATCCCACATACACTGCCCATCATCCCTGGCTGGAGGTCCCAGGGAGGAGAGGAGCGGACGTTGACAGTGACGCAACGCATGGGATGGCCCCATGCACGCTTGAAGGTATCCAAGGCTTAGATGAGAGGCTCCGAAGGGCCGCCAGCGAGGATAGATTGCGACATGACCCATGGAGAGCTCCCAGGCAGCGAAGGATCCCCGGAAACAACCAAGGGGGGCCCGCGGGGGAGGTCAGAGCGCGGAATTCGCGGACCAGACGGGAGCAGCCTCAGGGGGTGCGCGGCAGGACGCAAGACGGCCCGCCGGCAGAGGAACGGGAGGCCCCCCAGGGCCCACAGACCCCTACCAGCAGCTTCCCGTGCCAACAGGCTAACCCCTCCACGACGGCACGGGCGAGCACACCGCAGGCCCCGCGCCCAGACAGCCAGGCTTCCCACTCCCCAGTGTGCGACCCGAGACAGCGTGTAGGTGGAGGCAGCAGCGTAGGGAATGCCACGCCTTCGGCATCCCCAGGAAGCGCCCGCACGAACGACGCCCCAAGCACTGGAACGACAAGCGCCCCCTGCGAGGAAGGGGGGGGGGGCGCGGTGGGGCGGGGCGCGCGGGGCAGCAGAGCCCGCAAGCGCATGCCCCACCACAACCAGAGACACCAGCGGGGGCGCGTCACCAGCAGACACAACAGCCCACAGAGCCACTCGAAGGGCAGCGCCCACATCACCCTGCCCCTCAGCGAGGAGAGCCAGGTGCTGCACAACCGACGGCACGGGCATTGGCTCCCCAGACGGAAAGAGACGAACCAATGGGCGAAGGTGGTGAGGGAAGCCAGGCCCAGCAGGACCCAGCAGGCGAGGCGCAGGCAGACGGACTACCACGAGCCCAGACGAGTAGACCGAGACCCCCCCCGGACAGTGTCGCCCGAAGCCCACCCGGAGACCCGCTTGGAAGAGGTGACACCCAGAGCGAGCTTGCATCTGCCACCTTGCATGAGGCACCAGTGGGGTCAACTCCTCAACAGTGCGGCAGAAACGCTTAGCACTCTTGGCCCACCCACCCAATTGGAGGGGCTGGGATGCACGGACAGAACAAAATGGAGAACAGTACTCAGCGCCATCGCCAGGGGCACATGCATGCTGCAGCTCGAGTAACAGATCCGGCAGATTTTCACCAGAGCACACTTACCACACAGACTGATCACCCCCTTCAAGGCGTACTGGACACGGCGCCCACCGGTAGGCACGAGGAGCCCTACCGGCAGAAACATACTGTCAAAGAACGCAGCCCTAACGGCTGATGACGCCTGCGCACGCCTACAAGCTGCGACAGGCAGAAGCCCCGTCACAGGAGGGCCGGCAAGCCCCTTCTCCCCCTTAGCTGAAGAGGTCCTTGAAGAGATCCTCTCCGTTGCCGCCGGCAACAGTCCCGGCCCCGGCCCCAGCGGGCTTAGTACAGTTGACCCCACATGGCCCAACCTCAGGGGAGACCCGCCTCTTGGCAGCCCCGCCGAGCGACCGTCGCAAGAAGCTGGAGCAGGACCCCCCCGACCTCCCA